GACGCGTACAGCCCTCATACGGGACCTTTTTTCTTATGGTTTCCAAGGAAATTGCGCGCGGGCCGTACGGGTCATATGATCATTTTGTTTACTCAACACCCGCACAATCTGTGCTATTTTTCTCTATTATTGAACGCAGTGTATTGATGGCTTTAGTCTTTTATTACAAAGACATGTTAGAAAAGCTAACGATGCAAAGAACCCAGCAGTTGTATGCTTTTCCTTTGTTACCGAAAGAACCCAGTTAAGGTAACTCTCCTGAAATAAAATTGCATATAGATTTTTGTTCAAACTTTGTCCAATGAATATTTATCATATGAGAACTTAAATTATAAAATAAAAAAGGGGAGTGCCCATGCTCGTTAAGGAGCAGTGAGGCATTGAAAATGTCCCAATTTAGCGTTATTTAATGCTTATTAAAAGAACGCATTCCAAGTTATTTTAAACTCTTTGTTAGCCCAGACTCATGAAAATACACCTCAAACTACAGTCAATATTTGTGTAGGACACAAATAAACTTTTTAAGTTTGATTTTGACAGACAGCGCCATGCAATACTGAAAATTTATGCACGCGCTCGTGCGCGTTGCTAAAGAGGTGAAATTTCACTCCCGGCTCCTTACGTCAGCCTGAACGCGGAAAATAAAAACAACTCAAAAACTTGCAAATTCGCTTACAATTTAGATGTTTTTCTTTGTTTTTCACAAAATGCAAAGTAGAAAAAGTACAAGCAAAGACAAAATAAGAGAAAGACAGAAAAACAAGAGCAATAGAAAGAGAAAAACTAACTCCGTGTGACTTTGTTTGATCTTACCGAAGTGCACTGGTAGTGTAAATTGCGCACGCGCTGATAGGGTAACTTCCTATATATGTCGGGCGCACTTCCGGTTTCTTTAAATGCTAAAGGAAACGCGGTTTTTCATTAAATCCAACTTTTTTTTGACGAATTTCGATTAAAGCCAACGTTGGAAACATAGCTATGGATTCCTTTTTCGAAATCATGCTTTTTTCAGAAAATTACGAATTTTTTAATACTTTGAAATTCTCTCAAAA